TTCCCATCCCCACCCCACTGCCATCCCCCCCTCTGTCCCTCCCTGCCTGTCCAGAACATGTCCCTGGCTGTCCCCACAGCTCCACGGCCGYTCCCGTGAGCAGAGATACACCCGGAGTGCAGACTGGGATTACATCTCTGAGTGYGCCCGCATCGCCAGCCCCATGCCTCTCTTCGGTACGTGGGGTTCCTTCCCCTTCAAATTCCTTTAAAAACAGGCAAAATAAAAAATTACATTTTTTCCTGAGGGCGTTTAGCCTGGGGAAAAGGTTGGAGCATCCCTGGTGCTGCTGGTGTGGGGACAGGGGGAAGGGATGGGTGGGACACRAATCACTCGGGTTTTACGGGGTTTTCTCACACAAAATCCCCAAATTTTCAGGGCAGGGAGCTGGGAATGAAGGAAAAGAGAGCAGAAAGCTCCACTTTTCCTTGTAAGGGAACATCCATCAGCASCATCCCTGGGAATCCACAGCAGCAGAGCCTCTTTGGTCCATCTGGCTCTTGGACGCTGTGTCCATTTGCAGTTTTATCCCATGCCTGGATTCACTCACTTTGACTTGTCCTCACGGATCACTTTGACCTCTGTCCTCTCCCTCCTTCCTGGGCAGGAAATGGGGATATTTTATCCTACGAAGATGCAAATCGGGCCATGCAGATGGGAGTTTCTGGAATCATGATTGCGAGGCAAGTTCCTGCATTTTCCCTTTTTTTCCTGAGCTTTGTCGGTTCTAAAACTTCAAAAAAAAAAAATTAAAAAACTCCTTAAACAGCCCCAAATTTGAGATTTTCCTCTCGGTGAAAGCGCTCTGAAAATTGGTAAAATCTGTGTCTGTGGGAGCTTTTTGGTGGAAGGGAAAAGGAGATTTAAAGCAGAATGGGCTCAGAAATTGGGGATGGGAAACGTCTCAAATCTTCAGGACCATCAGTAATGGCAATAAGAGCCCCGTTTTTGTGTTCTGGCTGCAGAGGGGCACTCATCAAACCCTGGCTTTTCACGGAAATCAAAGAACAGARGCACTGGGACATCTCCTCCAGCGAGAGATTCGACATCCTCAAGGATTTCACCAACTWTGGCCTGGAGCATTGGGGATCAGACACTCAGGGAGTGGAGAAAACCAGGAAATTCCTGCTGGAGTGGCTCTCCTTCCTGTGCAGGTAACTCTGCCCAGCCAAAAGGATCGTTAAATAATTAATTAAACTCCAGCAGTGATGTTTAATTCCRTTCCAGGTACATTCCAGTTGGGTTRTTGGAACATCTACCTCAAAAAATCAACGAGAGGCCGCCCTATTACCTGGGCAGGGATTACCTGGAGACGCTCATGGCCAGCCAGAACGCTGATGATTGGATCAAAATAAGGTAAAAAAGCAGCAAATTTGGGTTTAAATTGATAAAAAAGACCAGGCAGAGCTCCTGTGGAGCCACAGGGTGCTGTTGGTTTTGTTGTTGTCCTGCTCTTTCCTGGCTGTGTCGTGATTTCATTTTCTGATTTATTTTAATAATTTTTTTTTTTTGGGACTGGATGTTTCCAGCTCTACCAGAAGCATCTGGGGTAGATGTTCCTAGGTGGCCACTGTTGATGTTCTGTTGATGGTTGTTTATTTTTCTGGG